CGGCTCCCACCCGGCCCCAGGGCGGGGACTGGCTGGCTCAGGGGGGCGGAGAATGGGCACGGGGCCTGTCCCCTCTAGGGGGCGCCGGCTCCCACCTGGCCCCAGGGCAGGGACTGGCTGGCTCAGGGGGGCAGGGAATGGGGCAGGGGCCTGTCCCCTCTAGGGGGCACCATCTCGAGCTGGTGAGTGACTCCCCTCCCCTCCCCTCCCCTCGGCTGCAGTGTGAGAATGAGGCCCCCGTGCCGCCGGCAGCCATGGAGTTCCTGGAGAACCACGGCAAGAACATCCTGCTGTCCAACGGCAACCTGACGGCCACCCGCGTCGCCAGCTACAACCAGGGCATTGTGGTCATTGCCCACCCCCTGCCCCCGGGCCAGCTGTTCCAGGTGTGGCCTGGCCCCATTCCTTCCCCTTGGGGGAGGATGTGATGTCGTCATGGGTGGGGGAGGTGGACCTGCTACTTCCTGTCTGGGGAGGATGTGATGTCATTATGGGGGAGGATGTGACATGATGGGGGAGGGAGGGAGGAGGGCCTGCTACTTTCTGCTGGTGGAGGATGTGATGTCATGATGGAGGTGGGTGTAGGGTCTGCTCCTTCCTGTCGAGGAAGGATACAATGTCATGATGCAAGTGAGTGTAGAGCCTGCTACTTCCTGTCGGCGGAAAATGTGATGTCGTGATAGGGAAGATGTTGGTCCTGCATGTGTGATGTCATGATGGGGGGTGTGATCTCACAGGGGGTGGTACCATTCAGTGCCTCATGGGAGCTGTCTCCGTGGCTTCTGACATCACTTCCTCTCCAATGGCATCATGGGAGCTCTCCCACTCATTCTCCCACCTTCCCAGGTTCAGATCGACTTCCTGAACCCCCAGTGGACGTCGTCCCTGTCCCTGGGCGTCATCGGCACCTCGCCCGAGCGCCTCAACTTCCCCGCCACGGCCTGCTCCCTCAAGCGCTCCGCCTGGCTGCTGCAGCGCGACTCCGTCTTCCACAACTCGCTCAAGGTGGGGATGGGCCCCTCTAGGGGGCGCCGGCTCCCCTCCGGTCCTGGGGCGGGGGCACTGGCTGGCTCAGGGGGGCGGGGAATGGGGCCCAGGGCTCACTACGGTCCCTCCCCCAGATCTGTGAGAACTACGGGCCCAATCTGGACACGTGCCCCGAGGGGACGGTGCTGGGCCTGCTGGTGGACTCGAGCAGCTGTCTGCACCTCTACGTCAACGGGATGGACCAGGGGGTGGCTGCCCAGGACATCCCCACCCCCTGCTATGTGCTCGTCGACCTCTACGGGCAGTGCGAGCAGGTGAGCCCCGCCCCCGGAGGGGGGAGAACACAGCCCCCCTGCTCTAACCACCAGCCCCCACTCCCCTCCCAGAGCCGGGGAGAGAACCCTGGTACCCAACCAGTGCATTTGTCCCCCCAGGTTACCATAGTAACGAACGACACCCCAGCGCTGGGAGGGGAGAGTGCGGACCCCCACTCCCAGGGGGACATGGAGAAGGCAGACATGGTGGATGGTGAGTGACGGAGCCCGGCTGTCCTCTCCTGGACGGGGGGCGGGATCTTCCTGGGTGAGGGAGTGGGGCTGGGGCCGTGCCCTCCCCTCTGCGCCTCTAGGGCGTGTGGCACAGGGGCAGGGCCAGCTACCCCCTCTTTCTCTGTTGCAGGCATTAAGGAGAGCGTGTGCTGGACGCCCCCCGTGGACATGAACACCATGAAGACCTGCGAGTACCATGCCCTCTGCGCCCGCTTCAAGGACCTCCTGCTGCTGCCAGGTGAGCTGGGCCCCGCCTCTCTGTGGGCATCGGAGGGTGGGGGGCACCCCGCTTCTCATTAACCTGCCCCGGATGGAGCCATGTTAGCAACTGAATGGGGCCGGCTGGTTTCGAACGCGTGCATTGGGGGAGCTGGATGGTGGGCGTTGTCATTAGGGTTCAGAGTTAACACCCCATTATTCAGGCTCAGGGCAGGGGAAGGAAAAGGAGGGCTGCCTCTTCCCATGCCCCAACATCTGACCCGCCCCCCCCTTCCCTCCCAGACGACTACTTCGCGGAAGATCCTAAATTCAGCCTCTGCTACTGCGAGTCGTGCCACAAGCTGCGGGGGGATGAGGCCTATTACAAGCGGGGGGAGCCCCCCCGGGACTACGCCTTGCCCTTCGGCTGGTGCCGCTTCAACCTCAGGTACCCGGCCGGGCGGGAGGGGCATCGGGCTGGGATGGGAGGGGTAAGGCTGGGAACGGACTGGAGGGGGGATGTGGGGTTTGGGGGTGTTCCCGGCTCTGATACCCTCCCCCCCGGCAGGGTGAACCCCCAGCTGGAGGTGGCCAGCACCTGTAAGAAGTGGCACATTGCTTATCACGGCACAAGCGTGGGCGCCGTCCGAAGGATGCTGGACCAAGGGGAGCTGGGGGCAGGTAGGAGGGACCCAGCACTGAGCCCGTCACGCCCCTCCCAGAGCCGGGGAGAGAACCCAGGAGTCCTGGCTCCAAGCCCCCCCCCCCCC